CCCCAACCCTCCCGATGAGCTCCGTGTCCTTCACGTGCCCATAATCCGGTCAGCAATCTTGTGTGGGGGTCCTTATGGGCCTAGACAGTCTCTCTGGCCCTAAGAGAGTCTCATATAAGTGCTTTTACTTTTTTGTTGCTGCTGTTCTCTCAGGGCCATTTCCCTTGGTAGAAATGAAATTAATTAAAAGAATTCCTGTTTACATGGTACTCCTTTGAGATAACCTCAATCCTCAACCCAATTAAAATTCATTGCTCCTTGAAAATAAAATTGCATAAGGCCTGGTGGGGGTGGTGTTTTAAGCTAAAGGCTTTTCAGAGTTTCTCAGACACTCATGCATTTAGTCTGTACATTCTTCGGAGCCACCACTTCAGGCTGAGTGTAGCTGTCTCAGTGAACAGTCAGGACGGTGCAGCAACCATATTTCTGGTTGTGAGGAAAGAGAAGAAAACTCCACTAGGTGTGCTTAAATGCCTTCTAGAAAGAATACATCTGTGGCAGGGAGGTGCTGAGGGGGACTCGCGTGTATTGCGCTTGGGCCCACACTCCGCCTTGCTGCTGTAACCGTAGGCCAGCTCAGAGTGGTCCTATCCTATTAACAAACCCAGAACCAAACTCAACTCCACTCATGAGTAACACTTGTGAACCCCTTAAATCCCGCCCCAAACCCTGGATCATCAAGATTTGAGCCTTGCCACCTGTTTCTTACTAGTCAATTTGCAAATAAAGCTGCTTTCTTTTCTCAAGAGCTGGTGCCATGGTATCGGCTTCTTCGTGCGTGGGGCAGTAACCATTTTAGTAACCACCCAGGGATTTCGTCCTTGTGACTGCCTGCCTCAGGGGTGTGGGCTCTTGCACGACTCTGTGGCCACCTGAACCGGTTTGTCTAGGCTTGGATGCTGGGTTCCTGCTTCCCCCACAGTGCTCCAGGCTCCTCCACTTTTGAAAAAAGAAACAGCTCCTGGATCAGATTACATTCTGGTGAGTGACCTCATTAAAATGCGCTTGTGCCTAAATTATCTGAAAATCTCTTGAGGATTGTGGGTTCCAGTCCCATCCCACCCCACCTTATCCCCAGACTTGGGTTAGAGTCCTAGGTCTAGAATTGTGGGTTCCAGTTCCACCCTAGGGAGACAACTGAAAGAAAGGTTGCACCACTGAGGTCCTCGAAGGTCAGGCTCGGTCCCAGGGTCTTGGATTTCTTTGTCTGGAAGAATATTCAATCTACTATACTGTAGGGGTGCCAGTCTTGTTTTGTGCATCTTTGTTTTAGATTAAAGGGACTGGAGCCTCACATTAATTGGCTTCAAAGTGGGAAGCCATTAAGCTGGTCACCGTAACCTAAGAACTAAAGTTTTGCTAAGACTAGGTAACCTATCTTTTATTGTGACTTTGGGTAAATGAATCATAGTGATATGTCTCTTCAGTCAAGTATGTTTGATAAATTTCTCAGGGTTCAATTTTTAAAAGGAGACTTTTTCTTAACCTGGAAATGGCTTTGGGTTATTCCAGTGGGCCCCTGGAATGCCTCAAAGATTTGTTCTCTCCTTATAAAAGATAAATTTTAACCTAATTAGGATATTAAAATTACATAGGAAGTTTTGTGAAATAAGGAAATAATTCTAGTTGTTATCTTAAAATGTTTATTATCATAATATATGTTACAGTAAAAGCAAGTTTCTGTGTCACTTGCATTATAGTCAGATTTATAACTGAAATTACGGGGAGTGTTATATCTGGCTGCAGCCCTTTGGGAAGTATTCTTTAAAATTGGTCAATATTTAGCAAAATGGTTTTCTTTCATAACGCTGCTTGGCCCCAATATCAGAGTCAGGTGAGAAATGGCCCCAAAATGGGTCCTTAAACCAAAATTATGGTTCAGAAGGAAGACCCTCAGGGAAAAATAACAAAAAAATTCAAAACAATCCTGTATTCCCTGAGTCAAAGCCAAATGATGATCTTAATTTTCTACACTTGGCTCCTCCCGTGATGCCTCCTCCAAACAAAGTGGGAGTTCTTGTGAATAATGCTGAGGCTCCATCAACAACTCTCCTAGGGTCTAGCCCTGGACCCTTCCTTGCCAGAGAGTCAGAAAGGAACAGTCTGGTCTCCCCAGGGTGTTCACTTTGGCCCTGGGGATACTTTGCCTCAGGCAGGGCATATCTGTTGAGACAAGTCCCTGAAGTCTGGATGAGCAAGGTCAACCTAGGGGATTTGTATCTGTGTACTCCACCCTACTGAGATGATCCTGAAACGATGGGGAATCTCTTCACCTGTGCACTTTGGAAGCCTCCACCGAGGAGGAACAGAGAACCGCACGGTAGAGGGCTTTGTTTCAGGTTCAGCAGCCTACTCCACAGCTGTTCTGAATGCTGAAGGCAGGGCTTGGCGGAAGAGGCTGTGGGAAGCCCACCAGGTAGACACAGCAGCAGGGCCAGGAGCCCCCACCTCAGCCCCTGTCCTGGTCTCCTTCCACAGCTTTGGTGTCTCCAAGGGAAACCTGGGGCTGAGCCCAGGTGGTAGCCTGCAGCAGCCTCGGAGCTCTGGTTGCAGCAGGCCAGCTCAGCTCCCAGCAGAAGCAAGCAGCATGGGCCTGATAACAGGACATCATAAAGGGGCCCAAAGAAGGGCCCAAGGAGAACCCACCCACCTCCCTTGAGAGGGTGTTGAGACTTACACCTCGGCATGCGACAAGCTGCACTGCTCCCCCCAGCACTTAATCGCAGTCAATCAAGATGCAGTTGGTGCTTACTGGAAGGAAACAACTAACCATGGGTAAGACCCTGACCCTCGCCCCCCCACAGGGTGTGTATATTGTAAACAGAAGGGTCATTGGAGAGAAGCATGTCCTGATCCCCTCCAAAGATAGGGGAAGGAACTTGCCACAAATCAGCTTACTAGATACGGAGGCCAGGGCTCATAAGCTGATGTATTTTGCTGCTGAAAAGGAAGGGGTGTAGGGAGGGGTTTCCAGGGTGGAGCTGAGGGGGCACTGCTAAGTCTCTTGTTGGGTAGGGAGGGGTCAAGGCATAGCTGGGACGGAGGAGGCTGGCAGGGGAGAGGCGGCGACTGGGCCCGCAGGAATGGAGAAGATGGGGGTAGAGACGGGAGCGGACAAAGGGCAGAGCGGACCTGGTGGTTGTGATGCCAGCGGCTGTGGACTGGTGGGAAGCGGAGGGCGTGCGGGATGGCCAGAGGCTAGCGCGGGAGGGAGGGGGGCTGAGCGGAACAGGAGAGGCGAGATGCAGGAGGTGAAGCCCGAAGTGAAGGGCAGTTTGGTGATAAAAGAAGAGAGGGGGATGAGTCAGAGGTAAAAGGAGAGAAGAAAAATAACCTGGAGAAAAAACAGGAGGAAGTATTTGTTGGTCAGAACATACAAGAGGAGGAAATGATGAAGTGCGTAAAAGGAGAAAAATGTTTCCCTAGGACAGATGGTGGGTGATTCCAAGGTGAAAGAGGAGCCTCGGGTTGTTCCCCCTGGCTCCAGGCGGACCCTGGCCATGTCGGGGTGTGGAGGGCGCGGGGCAGAAGCAGCTAACTGCAGCTGTGTGTGCGGGATAGGGCCTTAGGTGGCCCTGCCTAGCGTAACTGTAGCCCCTTAGAAACAAGCCTTGGTTGAGCACCTATGAAATGTTATCTGGGAGGCCCTTTTTTAAGACTATTACTGCAATCTTGAAAATGATCATATTGCAGAAGAATTAGTTACCATAAAATATACACAGTCTCTAGGCCCTACTTTCTCTGACATACATAAGTATGCCCGTTAATGTCTCCTATAGATGTTCCCCTGCAATGTGTAAACCCAAAAGACTGGGTCCTCAAGACTTGGCAACCTAAATGAAATGGACCCTACGAAGTCCTTCTAGTTACCCATGTCTACCAGGACCTCCTCACCCCCTTTATAATTCCCAAGTAGGGACACTCTTCACAGACAGGAAGAAGAGGACCTGACGGCCTAGCACTAAATGGGCCTGGAAAGCCAGTACTGATTTTCTGCCCCTAATTACATTTGTGAACCCTTGACTACTCTCAAATTACTTTTCAGAAAACACAGGGCAGCTGAGACTTCACCTGGCCAGGAAGAGAAGGTCATCTTGGAAGTAGACTTATTTTCTGCCCAAGAGTTCAGACCAGGGCTATAAAAACCTAAATTCCTATATAGTTGCTATTGTTTTGGTTTAAATGCTTGTTTTACTTTCCTGGTTATGATATTTGCTTGTATAGTTCTAGTATTCTACTCTCTTATGCTGTCTTGGATTTTTCCTGACTGACTTTGTCCCCTTATCAGCAGGCAATAACTAGAGTGGTTCACCACCCATTCCCCAGGCTGAAGAATAAACAACAAAAAGGGGGGATTTGTAACCATAGACCAGCTCAAACTGGTCCTATTCTGTTTAACAAGACCTGGAACCAAAGTTTACACCACTTACAAGTAACACTTGTGAACCTTTAAACTGCTACTACCTCTTAGAAATCCACGCCAAACCCTGGATCAGTAAGATGGATTTGAACCTTGCCTCCTGTCTTCTTGCCAGTTGACTTTCAAACAATGCTCTTCTTTCTTCAAAAGCCGGGGCTACAAGCCGGAGCAGCAAGTCCTTGCTCAGTAACACTACCAGCCCCCTCCTGAATTGCAACTCCTTCCCCCTCCTGGCCCTGTAGTTCTCACCCACATGGTATTCTTCGTGCCCTGCTCTGTCTCCCTCAGCACTTACCCAAATGAGGCTGCTTGGATGGAACAGGACCCTCTCTCAGTCTATGACAGAGGAGGCAATGGAATCCCATCATAGTTATAGACACAGGTTTGAGTAGGTGGGTAGCACAGTCTAACAGAAATACTAGAGACTATGTTCTAAATTCAATTTATCATCAGTTGGTTCTGGGCAAGTAGTAAATCTTTCTAGTCTTCTGTTTTCCTATATTTAACATAGAGACAGTGTCAAATATAGCACCTCTGGTTCTTACGACTGAGATGAAAATCATAAAAAATGACATAAACATGAGACTAAAATGAAAAGTATTTAAAGGTTATGGTTTAGAATGATCTAAAAGATCATTCTGAACAAAGTAATCTTGGAAAGTAGATTTTTTTTAATGAGTCAGCCAACTGAAAGATACATCCACCCTAAAAACACAGCAGCATTTCCTGCACTGTTCAGCTGTGTGATTCCTCAACATCCTTGAGGGAAAGGACTGTGTTATCTTGTATCTTTACCTCCTCCAATAGCATTAAATAAATGTTTTTATTTGAAATACATGGAAATGATGTCTACTTGTGCTGTGAAGGAGGTGAAGGGGCAGGACATCATGGCACCCAGCTCCTGGCCTGCGTAGGGTTGTGACATTCACTGACATAAGGAACCACCTGAGCCACTTATCGCTATCTGCATTCAAATATCTACTGGGAAGTTGGAGATCTAGGTCTAGAGCTCAGAAAAGAAATACAGATTTGAGTCATCAGGAAAGCCATGAGTGAACCTTGCAGAAGAATATATAGGAATTTTCTTGACTTTTAGGGTGTGACAGTATTTGACACTGCCGATTAGTCTCTCCTCCTTGAAAATCTCCCCTTGGCTCCCAGTATATCTCCCTCACTTGTTTCTTAAATCTCTGGGCATTTCTTTGTGGGTGGGTTCCTCTCTTTCACCTAGCCCATGACTTTAGAGTGTGCTGGGGCTCAGTGGTTGGCTCTGTCTCATGGTGATAGATCATCCACACTAATGGCTTTAAAGCCCATTTCCATCTGTTGACTTCCAAAGTTTGATCATGGCCCACACTTCTCTCCAGTATTCTAGAATCATAGCTAACTGACTCTTTTATACCTCCACTTGGTTTAGAGAGGGACCAAGTTATATGAATGTTTTATGATGAAATTTACTTGTTACTGTTTTTTTCCCCTATCGTATCACTGTTTATTGAGGATTTTGCACAATGTAAAATGATATAACCATAGATTGCTATGGTTTAGGTTGTACATACAGTAAATCTCTGTTTTAACTGTGTGGGGAAATATCTTTGGAAAAAAAAGAGACATGCTGAAGAATCTCTAACAAGGTTCGTGTGCATGCCCAAGATCCTTTGAGATTTCAGTGAGTAAATTTCCTTTTAGCTTTCACAAAAATAAAATAATTTAATAGAAACATTTTTTTCTAGAATTTTATAAGATGGCTTTATACGGTACATATTCTTTTATGTCTGGCTTACTTCACTTATTTTGAGTCATCTATTGTGTGCATATACAACATTTTAACTGTTGACAGACGTTTGGATTGTTTCCAAATAGAGCTGCTAGGAACATTTGCTCAGTAGCCCAATTTTTCTTTCTGAGATTTGGGGTTCAGGAGAACACAGCTTCTCTTCACTGAGTGGTAAATAGAAAAATCAGCTCAGCTCAAAGAAACTTCCTTGAGAGCGAGTGTTTGGCACAAGAGGTTATGTGATTTCGCCGAGTCAGCGGCTGATGTGCTCCTGACATCCTGCCTTGGCTTGGGCCGGCATCGCGTTTCCTGACTAAGTGAATCATGTCAGGAGTCTCAGACCTATCAGCCGTGCAGCTCAGAGCACAGGAGCTGATTTATGGGTTCCTTGAAAGATGGACTCAGCCTCCTAATAGGCTGGATGTGATGTGACAGGATTACACGGCTAATGTTCCCTAAGCGCCGACCCCGGGGTCTGCTTCCTTCCTAGCCTTTGAAGCTGAGGCCCATTATACTCATAATTTTATAAAACATTTTTTGTTCTCCCACCCTCAACCATGCATCTAGGCCAAATTCCTGTTTTCAAAGTTTTGCCAACACGCATTATCTGTTTTCTTTCACACCAATTCAAGCTGCTGCAATTGAATCTGCTTTCAGATTTGGCCTGCCTGATCCTCTCGGAGGCATTAACACATGCCTGACAAGTTAATAGAGGGCAAAAACTGATTGCAGAGCTTTGGGTATTGAATATGGATTTTATTTTGGTTTGTTTACAAGTATGCTATAAACTGTAAGAGTAAACTGTGAATATTGGTCAACTGTTTTCTAAAGCTTCACAGGTTTCTTTAAGCTGTTCAAGTGGTGGTTTTCCCCCTGCAGATATTTTCCTGGTGTCTGAAAACCCCTCTGACTTTCACTTTTGCTGTCATGGAGAAGTTGCCGTGGAGAGCTCAGATGTTGCTCAAGAATCGCTGGCCACAGATGTAAGGCTTGTTGGTTATCAAAGCAAAGTCTGGTGACAACAATGAGAAGTGAAAGGAAGCGTCTTAGATCTTGGAGAGAAGAAGAA